AATATATATATATATATGGGAATAAATTACAGCTATATACTCATATAGCTATATTTATGAAATTCACAGCAGGATCTACTAATATTCCCTAAAATTAGTCGTTTTAATGACCTTTTGTGATCTTTCACTGTTCACCATGCATAAGTCGTCCGTCTAGTTGTCGTCAATGCTGTGAGATTTATTTTACATTCGTATTCTACGAAATGTCGTGCCATCCATACCGCACAGAGCCAGTGATTATTCGTAATGATGTTAAACACAATGTATCAAATATTGTACCATGCCAGGTCAGTGCAGAGGCTAATATTCAAATTAATATATTTTTAATTGTGGCGTTTCTAAGGTTGTTTGGTATTGCTATACGATAGAGATCAATGCATGTTGCTACTTCTAGGTCAAGATCGTATTTCTGTCTCTCTTCGTTAAATCGACCCATTTATACATCGTTACCTGTAGCATATCTATTAATATGCATTAGGCACAGCAAGTAGATTTTATGGATGACATCTTCCACAAACTCCAAATCTAATGCGATAGGGCGAAAAAGATACAAGGCGAGATAAAAAACAAGATTCCTACATTTTCAATTTTGACATCATATACTTTATAAAACAAAAAATGATAATATGTTTACTTGTCACTGAAACAACTATGAAAAGCAAGTTTAAAATCATTGTAAAGATATTAATGGTTTTGATTCAGTAGAAACATCACATATAACAGGAATGAAATACTTCACTGCATCAAAGTAAAAGACAAAACAATAGATAAGAGCCGTGTCTTATATCCTCTCTTCATATTTATCTGTTATCCATGTTCTGGCAAGGACACAGAAATCATTGAGGATTTTCGGCATGTTGACCACTGTCAAAGGGCAACAAAATTTTTTGTTCTTCAAAATCAAGCGAAAATTAATGCGCGCGCGTATGTCATCCATAGAAATTACTTGCAGTGGACTTAGTAGAAAAATCCAGTATCTGAATCAAAAGTGGGCAATAAACAGAGCCAGTGTTCCAGGAAACATCGTTGAAATGCTCAACATACTCCGCTCTGTAATGTGAATACCCTATGCTTGTTACAATTCAAAGTGGTGATTCAGATTTCAAAGAGGGCTTAGTATTTCTGAACAGACATTATGTTCATTTTATGAACATACCTCTGTGGCTACAGTGCTTTCTAAAATCCCCTGTGCCGATTTCATTACTATTCATTAATATACATTACACAAACGGCAAACCGTACTTGATGTCAAAGCAATGTATCCTTAGTAATATTTCATAGCGATCTTATCTTGAATTTCGCGTGGAAATAATTTTGTTATAATTTGTTGTGGCACTCACCCCGCTATATTTGTAACATCTGCCTTTGCCCAGTATATGTAACACAGAAACTGACGCCCTGTTCATATTTGTAATACAAACGACATTGGTTATCTCCAAACTGAAACCACAGCTACTTGCAGAATAAAGATCACATTACCATATGAATCATTTAGGCGGAAAATTAGCCTCCCTAGCAAAGATTACCCGCCCGGGAGGACAGCGTGAAATTGTAAAGGCACGAGTAGGGTGTAACATTATGGGCTTCCCTAATCACTTCCTACCGGTATTAACACATGGATCATGTTTAGGCAAGGATTACCAAAATGCCACATTCATATGTTGGCTGCAGGCTCAGATTTGGGTATTACTTGTTATACGAGCAACCGGCTACATCACATTCATCCAATCTAAAGAATCTTGATGACTCAAGACAGAGGTTTTTTTTACCTAACGCTTTTGTTATTAATTGCATTTCAGTCATTAAAACGTTGCTTTTACCATTGAAGTGTAACGTCTGCATCCATAGAGGTTTTGGCTATAGATGCATGTTTCTAAATCACAATTTTATAGTTGTTTTTGTATCCCTCTGCATCGCAGAGTGCTGACGATTTTCAATCCACATATTCTAACCCAAATTATACAGAAAAATTCTATGGTGCTTGCAAAAGCACGTAAATTAACGTGTAAAATTTAACAATCAAGACAGTATGAAAATTCATGAGTTGTAAGAGGGAAAATCTCATATTAAACCACATACTGCGACGTGCATCGCTGTAATATAAAGGTGACATTTCAATTACGTCGGCGGTATAAATCAAGGGAAGGTTATGACTATTTTCCATTAAGGATTTTATTTGGAGTGCAGCTGTTACTGCACCTCCTCGCCTTTGGGGCTTGAAATGAAATAGCCGTTTGGAGGAGATATTCCCAGATTATGTTAATGCAGTCTTTTCTCGTCTGCAGCGTTTAATGTCAAAATCAATTTCTGCTTATAGCAGCGTATATATCATTCACCAGAGGTGAATAAGTGATGGATTCAATGGCGTACCGTATGTCTCTCTTCCATTGAGGAACATGAATCACGCATTGTGGCAACCACATACATGTCTACCCTTCGATAAACTAAAGCCCGAACTGATACACCGGAATGGAAAGTGTATCTTCGTCATTTCTACGTTTCTTTATTGCTTTAATCCAGCAAAATGGCAAATTTTCATTGAATATCTCAGTCATTGGTTGAAGCTATTTGCATTTGCTATTTGAGTATTACATGGGTTGTCTTATTGTAAAAATGCTAACGAGGACGACAAACTTATGCTATAAACATAAGACATCTGTCAACATTTACAACATCTAAGTGTGTGCAAATCGTAATTAGTGTCAAACAACAATAATCGATAACATTGAAAATAGCTGCTCGCCATTAACATGTTCATTTTGACATACAAATGCAAAGTAATGTACCTTATCAAAACAAGATCTGGGCTTCATTCCCAAAACAGTCGTTAACTAGCTGAAGCCATAAGTCTTTACGGTCATGTGATGCAATTCAGTAATACCTGGGATGAGTCAGGTGCGGCAGGCATAGTTTAACTGTCAGTTACTCCGTGTCTGCCACATCACACATGTAGGCATGGGGACGGAAAGGCTGAGGTGTTCCGTGTGGATGTGTGCGACATTCTCGTGCATTCTGGTCGCAGTTCATGCTTCGCAAGGTAGGGAAGTTGTCTTTGTTAGACATAGGCAGCCATGTAGGTTTATGGTGAATGAATATGTGGGATTATTCTTATCTGATCTATGCCAAGTTGTATAGATGCAAAGGGCACAAACCTAGATTGCGTGTATTTTAAAATTGCTTTGGTATCTATTTATATTTGATATGGTAAGTATGCATTTGTCTCTATAGTTCTTTAGCACTATTGCCTTTGGGCACATTCTGTCTTGTATGTATTTTTTTGTTTCCAAAAGATGCAACGTGTAAATATTCTGACAACCTCATAATGAGAGGAAAGAGTATTAAAGCTAACGTTAACTGTGCTATGTATGCCACTAGGACGAGTCACTCTTGATATATCCCGTTGATACGATCAGATATGGGTTAGATTATAGCAATATGACAAACATTAGACATGCCAATCTCAATACCCAGAGCAGCATTGTCAATTGACAGCTGCTTACATATTTTATTTTATCTGGAAGCATCGATCTTAAGAGAAAGCACCCCGCTGCACATGTACCCGAGGCCCTTGTTGTGTGGTACAATTTCAGAGGGTTACATATTTGACTACCATGGTATATAGTTTTCCCACTACCTTTTTGTATTTTCTTTTCTAATTCTAATTGCTAGTACTGAGTACTCAAGTACCAATGCGGATGTATTTAGTACATCTATATAAACTCGAATTAAGCTGATCAGGTACAATGCCTTACTAATGTGATGTCTCCCGCCCACACAAAAGATGTGTCTACGTGCGCGATCATCTGACGTCAGGTCAGTGGGGTAGATAATCGGCAATGACCATGCGATGGGAGCAGGGCATTATAGAAAGCAATTTCTACCTATCTTGACATATCATTTTCATC